ATAAAACATCAAAATCACTTGAATACATACGGAATATTTTAAATTCATACGAATGATGATAAAACTGAGAGAAGTGTATATTTAGACAATAATGGATCATATGTACTCATGTATCAGGACCTGTTCACGGCGGGCACGGATACAAGCTCTAGTACTGTAGAGTGGGCAATGACAGAGTTACTCAGTAGTCCTAAAACGATGGCGAAAGCTCAGACGGAGATTGATCATGTGATAGGCCAAAATGGTATTGTTCAAGAGTCTGACATATCAAAACTGCCATATCTACAAGCGATTGTGAAGGAAACTTTCCGGTTACACCCGCCTGCTCCGCTACTCATCCCTAGAAAAGCAGAATCCGATGTGGAGATTCTTGGTTTCATGGTGCTTAAAGACACTCAAGTTTTGGTGAACGTGTGGGCCATAGGACGAGACCCGATGGTGTGGGAGAATCCGACCCAATTCGAGCCAGAAAGGTTTTTGGGGAAAGAGACTGATGTGAAAGGTAGAGATTATGAACTTACACCGTTTGGGGGCGGACGGAGAATTTGTCCAGGATTGCCTTTAGCTGTGAACACTGTGTCTCTCATGCTTGCTTCTCTTCTTTATTCCTTTGATTGGAAGCTTCCAAACGGCGTCATTGCTAAAGACCTGGACATGGACGAGACCTTTGGCATCACATTGCATAAGACCAACCCGTTACATGCCATTCCCATCAAGAAGCGTCCCATTAATAATTAGCAATTGTAGTATATGTGTTTCGTAAGTACGATTTTGGACATGAATGATTTTGGACCTTGTCATTTTAAATAAACACAAATCTTCTCAAATCAAATGAATGCATATTGTTGTTTTGTTCTTTTTTTTTTTTTTCATGGCTACGTCCTCCATATGAACGACAGCGATATTGTCCCTGGATAATAGTTTAGCTTTATGAGTTTATATTAATAATTAAAAAATATTGGTTTTTTTGTTGCACATATATAGTTCAGCCAATAAAAATGGAAAAATAACTGGTTATATTACACCAAATAAATGTTTTTTTTTTGATAAAGGGCTTTACACCAAATAAATGTTAATTTTACATAGAAATTTGAGAAAAAATGGACGCAAACATTTTTATAAAAATGAAAGGCAAATAACAATGGGAAAGATGTTGTGATTAGAAAAGAAGTTCATCGTCTTAGAGATTGAATTGCTTAGCAATTCGCCAACTTAGGCACGCCCATCTCTTGTGATTGGTCGCCAGTAGTTCGATTTTCAAAAATGATGGTTTGACATTTGGTGAAAGGGCGCCGACTTGAGTCAAGTCAGATTCCATCGTTGGTAGTGGTACGATGGATTTGGACTATAAATACAGACTTTGTTGCAAAATTTGCTTGTTATACACTAATATATAATTAAATGTTTGAAGATCATGATTTTGCTTCATAAATCGGGGGTACGTGCCATCCATCCCTTATCTTTAGATCCGTCTATCAATTAGATACCACACGATAGATTTTGACCATTAATACAGATCTTTGAAATTAACGCCTTCTGTACACTGTATATAAGTAAATGATTTGAAGCATATGGTATTTCATGTCAAAAAAATATATCAATTAAACTAAAGATGGAGTTCATGTTAGGACAAGCTCTGCTCCTCCTTTGCTTTACGTTATCAAGTTTTCTTTTCATCTATACCACAAGATCAAGGCAGAAATCTGTAGGGACAGCCGCGACGCCTCCTGGACCTCCACGGCTACCTATCATCGGAAACATTCACCTTGTCGGTAAAAACCCACACCATTCATTTGCCAACCTCTCGAAAACTTATGGACCAATCATGAGTCTTAAGTTTGGAAGTTTAAACACAGTGGTCATATCTTCACCAACTGCTGCAAAAGAGGTTTTAAGAACACACGACCAAATCTTGTCTTACCGCAGCTCCACTAACTCGATAAGGTCCATCAATCACCACGACGTTTCTGTTGTCTGGCTCCCTCCGTCGTCCCCTCGTTGGAGGTATAATTAATGTCAACTTTTATTTTTCTATGGTTATGATTTTCTTCACAAATGTGTCATTCCGCGATTAAGTTAAATTACTAAATAAAATAAAGTAAATTATATATTAATTATGTATCATAGATTTCTTGTTTGAACTTACCCTACTTGAATTTTTGATTGTATTTTTCATTTATATTAAGCTAAAATCCGTTGACTATTGAGTAACTGTCATGTCTCTGTTTTGTTGTTGTTTCCTAAGGCTGCTGAGGAAACTGTCGGTAACATTACTGTTCTCTCCTCAGCGTATCGAAGCCACGAAAGCCTTGAGGGAAAACAAAGTGAAGGAACTTGTGAGCTTCATGAATGAAAGCAGTGAGATAGATGAAGCTGTTGATATTTCTCGTGCATTATTCATCACAGTTCTCAATATCATATCCAACATCCTGTTTTCGGTGGATCTCGGTAGCTACGACTTGAAAAAGTCCAATGTATTTCAGGAAGCGGTGATTGGTGTCATGGAAGCTGTCGCAAATCCAGACGCTGCTAATTACTTTCCATTCCTAGGGTTTCTTGATATGCAAGGTAATAGGAAAGCTATGAAGGTTTCCTCAGAAAAGTTGTTTAGGGTTTTCCGTGGCATCATCGATGCAAAAATAGCGGAGAGATCATTGGGGAATGACCATAAAAATGCTTCAAGCCACGATTTTGTGGATGCACTTCTCGAGCTCACAAAAGAAGATGACGTAGAGCTCAATACTAATGATTTTGAACACCTTCTCTTGGTAAGTTTAATCAAAATTTAAATTAAATGGGATAAAACCAATATTTTAAACGACAATGGATCTTTTGTACTTATATCTCAGGACCTGTTTGGGGCTGGAACAGACACGAACTCTAGTACCGTGGAATGGGCAATGGCAGAGTTACTTCGAAACCCTAAAACAATGGCGAAAGCTCAGGCTGAGATTGATCGTGTGATTGGTCAAAAAGGGTTTGTTGAAGAGTCTGATATCTCAGAACTACCTTATTTACAAGCAGTTGTGAAGGAAGTTTTCAGGTTACATCCAGCTGCTCCATTACTCGTCCCACGAAAAGCAGAATCAGATGTGGAGGTTCTAGGGTTCATGGTGCCTAAAGATACTCAAGTTTTGGTGAATGTGTGGGCCATAGGACGAGATCCAAACGTGTGGGAGAATCCGACTGTGTTTGAGCCGGATAGGTTTTTAGGAAAAGAAGTCGATGTGAAAGGTAAAGATTATGAGCTGACACCGTTTGGAGCTGGAAGAAGAATCTGCCCGGGATTACCTTTGGCTGTGAAGACAGTGCCTCTCATGCTTGCTTCACTTCTCTATTCTTTTGACTGGAAGCTTCCAAATGGCATCCATCCTGAAGACTTGGATATGGACGAGACCTTCGGTCTCACATTGCATAAGACCAACCCATTACATGCCGTTCCCATCAGGAAACACCATTAATTAGGCATTGTATTATAGATTTCTTTTATATGTACGAATACAGTTTCACGAACAGAATAAATTTGAAATCATAGATTACATCTCAAGGTTTAGTAGTGAATGTTTTTTGAATGAATGTCAATTTATCTAACACAATTATTGTACAATGATTGTAATTTTGTTCAAAAAGAAAGCATCAGCGTTCCCATACTTCAATAACTCGATCAAAAGGACTGAAATGACGCAAACCAGAGCTCACTGCATTGTCAGTGAATATTCATAATCAACTAAGAGCATCTCCAACGGTGTTACCGTTGGAATCCTTAAGAAAAATGGTATTTCGGATTTAGTAAGGATATTTCAAAAAAAAATTTAAAAAAAGAAGAAAAAAAAAGATGACCATTCTCGGGCTGCCACTTGTTCTGGAGACCCACAAATAGTGTAAGGATTCGTTAAGAAACAATCCTTATTTAGGGATTTTAAGGATCAAATCTTTAACTTTTTGTGGGATTTACTGATTATTTAATTATTTTTTTCCTTAAAGACTCCTTCCTAAGGACTCCCGTTGGAGGTGTTCTAATGACTTTTTCCTATACCATTTTTGTTTTTGTTTTAATGCAAATATGTACACTAGTTTATCCCATCAATTCATAACCTACACTAATCTTTGACTAAATCTTCATATTGTGAGAAATTTTATCTTCTTTGACACTAATCACTTGGCTTTCTTTAACCAATGGTAGCCAAGAGAAATGTTTGGAAAACCAGTTAAAACCTATGATCTAAAATTCGGCCGAGTTGCCGATTTTACGGCCGGATAATCGCAACTCGGAAGCCAACCGTAGCAACTTTGGACCAATCGATATGGTAAATCGCTGATGGTTGAATCGACCGCTTAATAAAACTAAACGCTATTAAATCGGTTTAATTCCTGATTAATAACAAAAATATACTTGGTTAAAGCCCAACAAAAATATGGGCCTTGGCATAAATAAAGCCGAATAGATTTCTTTTTTTTTTTTTTGTAACACAAATTTCCTTAATTCAAGACTAAAGTGTTTCAAACATTACAACCGGAGGTAAGCTCAATGGTAGGATGAACAACAATAACATAACAACAATAAAACATAGGATAGAAGTGTTAAAAGGAGAGACTAGAATCGAAGTAGAGAGATCCGCGGATAATCTTTACTTGAACCCTTGAAACCACAGCTCGGGAGAGCTTCAAATAGTCTAAAAAGACGTTGTAATACCCTAATGAAAGGGGTTTGACGAGGGGTGGAAAACTGAGGCTAGTGCACCCGTCAAACAAAAGAGAACGGCTCTATAACCGTCTATGTCGCTCCGGGAGACTAGGTGAATCTTAAGAAATCCGGATAGCATAAAGATTGATAAGCGAGATATTGAGGCAGTTGAAACTCTTTTCATCTCCGATTCCATTTGGGAATTTGATAAGGAAATGAACATAATAGTTGACAAAGTCGGAGGAAGAAACCTTAATTGTTTGAATTTGGTGCTGGAGTTTATGAGAAATGGAGCAGCTGTTAGACAGTCCATTGAATGAGCAAGAACGACTCGGAAATTCTCTCCGAGTCCATAGCTGGATTTGACACTGAAACAGTTGATTTGACTCTGAAAAACATGGATGATGGTCTAGAGGTTGAAAGTCTCTGAAACTGGGCTATGTGAACCCATAACATCAAACTTGAAAGACTCTTTTTGGGTAGGTCACGCAACGTTGGTTTGGCGATGGAAAATGATGGGCTGTGGCGTGACAAACATGACCTAGTTTCAGGCATACACTCGGTGGTGCTGAGGTGACGAAATGTGACGATGGAAGTGACATTGAAGGAGGTGCGGCAGTGAGTTTCAGGTGAGGCGAGTAACTGGACGGGACAAGAGAATAGACGCGGACCGGACGCAAAAAATTCACCAGAGATAGTAGAAACCATCTCCAGCCGGAGAGTGAAGAACGTCACGACTACTTGGGGGACGGTGGTGGTATCTTGCGGCGTCGGAGGTGGAGCTCCAAGAAACCAAATCACCCACTCGTCGGAAAGTGCTGAGATACGGTGTGGTTGCAGTGAGAGGATGAGGTGTTGTCGAAGAGTGTCTTTACACATTGATGTTAGCGTTAAAATTCTTGACAGAGAACAAGCTACAGATCTAGAAACCGACCTTGGAGAGGTGGTTCTCCGAACGTCAGATCTTACGCGGAGTAAGAGAGGCTCATGAATTTGGTTTGAGAGGGGAGTGACTATATCGACGGAATTGGAGTACGTAAGAGAGACAACGACTTGAAGAGGAGGGGGAGAGACAGTTGTAAAAGCTGCCGGAGAGACAACCGTAGGAGACGGTGAAGACACAGATTCAGATGTTGAAGACGATGATAGAGCAAAGAGAGAGCAGATCGGAGCAAGTGTCGGAGTTGACGACCCGAAGCCGGCGGCCAGAGGCCTTGCCGGTGTCGAGAAAGTTTGCTTGCGGTGCTGCTTTGGTAATCGTGTCTAGGAACTTTGCCGAATTGATTTCTCTATTGTCATCTAACGTGCTGTATTTATAGTCATCATTTCTTTTGTACAATCTTACAAACTCCCGATGTGGGATGTCTGTAATTCATAGGTAATTAAATATAAAATAAAATTTGTTAAAGAGACTCGATGCTATTTGTATTTAACCTCAATATTTATGTTTTTTTTGTAGATATCTGCCACTTGTAACTTGTAAGTAAATTATACTTGTAGTATATCTGAATTGAAATAAATATAATTATTTTTTATGATTTAATTTGGTAGATATATTTATAAATCTATAAATCTTACTAATAATATTTTATAAATAAACATGTTTTATACATATTTTTGTATTATTCATATAAAATGAGATATATACATATAAAATACAAAAAAATTCCTTCCCGAGTACTCCCTAATTTTTTTCCAATTTTTTAACAAATCGCTAGGTGCTAGTGTGCCACACGCGTAGCGCATAGCGAGTTTCCGAACAAAGGTTAAAACCAAAGAAGAAAAATAACAATAATTTAGACGGTGCCATAGACATTTTGAAGACAAGGACAAGAAGCTTTTTCGAAATTCATAAATTTGATTTTGCTCTGCCGTAAGTAAATTCAAATCCACATGTCTTTGTCTATCCAGTATTTCCAAGAAGAAGAGATTGCGTCCTTATGACATATGAATGGATCGATTTGTCGTTTGGTATCAACTGGGTACATTATTAGCAACAACGAAGATAAGAAGATAATAACTGCATGGTTCTAGAAATGGACCAATGTTTTGGTGTTACTTGCCCAATATGACAATACCAAATTAACAAGTATGCGTTCCCACTAAAAACAACGTCTCTGACATAAATTGTACTCCCTGTATTTCAATATAATTCATATTTCAGAAAAAATATTTTGTTTCTAAAAAATATATTTTCATATTTTTAATATATATAATAAAGCTAAATTGTAAATTTCTATGAATTAATTGTTTTTATTAAATTTTGATTGGTTAAAAATTAGGGTAAATAGCTATTCACAAAAATAATACATTTATTAATATGTTTTCTTAATATGTGTGAAAATTTTATAAAATAGATTAAACTGAAACATAAGGAGTACTGTTAGTACATTGTGATGTTTGGTGGATATGAATATATGCATTAAATAATTTCTTGACTCATGTGATCACACGGATATTAAATTTAAAAATAATTTTTTTATTTTGTATAAACTATATAATTTGAACTTATAGTTTATACATACCATATAATTGTTTACTATACTAATTTTAAACATAGTAATTCCATTTATTACATTGAATAATTATAGTTTATTTTGTAATAGTCAATTGTATCATCTATATTTTTATCATATAAATTTATTGCATTCAATTTCAGTTGACTTTTATTTATACTGAACTAATGAAAAATTTATATATTATATAAATGATTATTTATGTAGTTTTTTTTTTTACTTTTTAGTTATTTCTAATAAATATGAAAAATATAACTATATAATTTTAAAACATTATTGTCTTCTAAATTTAGTACGCAAATACATAAATTTTTATGTGGCTTGTATAGGTTATTTTATGTTTATGTAAATTTATAATCATTTTTTTGTTTTAAATTATATCATTTTTATCATGTTTATTTATTAGTAACACATCCATCCGCATTTTAAATCAATTATATAAATGCATGTTGGTTTTATATAAGTCTATTTGACTACACCCAATAAATACATAACAAACTCAAAAATAAATATCTAAACTAATACTCAAAATACAATGAAAAATACTTGAAATATTTATTGATTCTTCATCTAAATATTCAAGTCAACCAAATTTCATGTTAAGTTTAAGTATTTTGACATATATTATTCAAATTTATACGTTATATAGTAGTTTATTTTTAGATTTGAGAAATGTGAAGTTAAATGAATTTAAAATTTCTAAACTAATTTTAGCGGGTTATCCACCGATCTTGTGCTAAAATTTATAAATACCTAAATGGGATTAAACCTTAACTCTAAAAACCCAAAAATTAAATAGATCTGAACCGATCCGAATAGGTACCCGAATATCTACCCCTAGGTTAGATTATAGGAAATAATTATTATTTAATCACACATGATTTCATTTATAGAATATAATTTTTTGTTTAGCTATGTTGTAGAAATTAGTTTAGTCACTAATATATGGAAAGATAATGATTTAAGTAACAAATGATTATGTCCAAAATTACTATATATGGAATATTGCAAATATTTTTCGTGATCAAAACTGATTCTATTGTTATTTATGATTTTGAATAAATAACAAAATTTTGTTAACAATGGGAATCACTTTTTATGATTTCGAAAAATATTTGGAGGTTTGTGTTTCTTAAATAGAATTGTTAGTTATGATTATGAAAATCGAAATGTTTGTATAGTATTTCTTTTACAACAATGTTTGTATAGTATATGTAGAACTTAATACATTAAAATAACTTAATACATTAAAATATATATAATAATAATAAATTTGATAAACAGTTTTGTTAGTGAAGAATTACGTAGGTGAATGTTGAAATCAAATGTTATATTTAAAAAAAAAATAGTTTGGAGTCAGCAAATTTAGAAATAATTAAAATTTGGATTTGGTTTTTATTGTATCAGTGGATGCATATTTTAATAAAGTTGTAATGGTTGAAATACTTCATTTTAATAATGTACGTTTAGCTTATCAAAATTTTAATGGATGTTAAATATTAATTAATATAGAATAAACTGAATTTGTTGTATATTTAATTTTGTAAAGACAAAAAGGCACAAAGACATGAGTAGTTATTACTTTACTGGCATTGCAATATAAATAAGTGTTAATTAAAATGATAAGTTTATATTGGTATTTCTCTTTAATTTTTATAAGATATATATTATAATAAATGTGTTTACATTATAATAGATATATGGTAGTTTTACAGTGATTGTTAATAGAGAATGAATAGGTTGAGGTGTCATGTATAAATAGTTTCTCGCAAATTCTGTATTATATTATGTGTTTTACGTTTTTGAAATTTACAAGCAGAGATCTACGTGTTATATTAAAATTCCACAAAAGAAAGATAATTTACAAAAATATAATTGACATATATTTTCTTTCATAAATATTTCAAATTCATTTATACAATATACTTCAGGGAAAGTTGCCTAAACTAGCACTTTCTTAGTACTTTTTTCATTTTTACTTTAACCACATTTATCTTTCATTGTAATGAGTTAAATAGATACTTACAATTCTAGGGTTAACTAATCTAAATTTATGATTTTTTTTTTTTTTTTTTTGTAACAACAATTTATGATTTACATTTGAAAGGTGAGATTTTAGAGGGCAAAGTTTAGAATTTTTAATAAAAATACAATATATAAGTAAATACTAAAATTAAAACAAAAAATTAAAAATAGTTTCAAAAATTATTTTTGAATTTGAAAATGAATATCTGCAAAAATTTAAAATCAAAATATATAAATTTCAAAAAACAATTAAATAAACTAGAAAATTTTCGAATTTGAAAAGATATAATTCGAAAAATTAAAAGTTTTTTTTCTTTATTATTTAAATAATTATTTATATTTATAAATCAAGGATATAAATATCTTTTTCCTCATTAATGAAGTCTTATATTTAGGTATTTTTGAAAATGTCCATTAAATAAAAGTAAACATGAATGATGGCACCAAATAGAAGGTCAAAGTGAAAATCTCCCATATTTCAGTGTTTTATATACTAAACTCACATATAATTTCCTGAAAGAAAGTTAGAGAGAAGTACTACAAAAAAAAATTGAACAAACTTCCGGTGATGGATTCGAAAGGATTGAGTGAAGAAATCAAATTTTGTGAATGAAACATTAATCTTCTTTCAATCGCCAGTTGTTGATGATAAGTGTATAACTATTTTTTTTGTTATGAATGTGTGTACACATTTTAGAATCTTAAGCTTTGAACAAGCCAAACTGTAAAATATTTACTACCATAAATTATTAATGTTAAAAACTGATTAGACTAAAATACAACACAATAAGCCAAAAAATAAAATGCAGTAAGCCCAATTATATATATATATATATATATATATATATATATATATATATATATATATCTTTTATTTTTATGGTTTACAGATCCAATTTTATTTTTTATATGAAAACCCACTTATGTCTAGGTCTATTTTATTTTTATTAATTATCTTTCATGTGTTATCTTGAATAAAAATATTTTTAATATTAATTAGCAGTATATTTATATTTCTATCAATCACTTTTATATATTTTTACATACATACATGTGTACATTGATGTAAGCACTTATAACTAAATATTCACTACAAATGAAATATTCATTTCTTTTGGAAGTTGAAATATTATTTTTTCTAACGCTTCTTTCATTATGGCCAAATTTTAGTAAAATGATCTGTCTTAATATTTTTTTTCAACTATTATCAGTATAGAAACTATAATACGAAACAATTGGTTTGAAACTAAAACAATCAAAAAATTTATATAACACCAAATAAATAATAATAGTTTTTGGTTATCATGGAAAATCAAAAACATCAAACATTTTAACCGAACAAATCAAAATAAATATTGATTTATAGTTATAATTATATTTTAGGAGATTAAAGTGAAAAAATAACTTAAAATAAAAATGATATCTAAATTAAACAGATTTAATATACTTTTTAAAAAAGAACGAAATTAATAATGTGATCGTCACACAAGTTATTGCTTAGTTTTGTTTTAAACTTTAGATCAGACCATCATGTACGATATCTTAACGATTTGTTACGCCGCTCCGTGTACGTAGGACTAAATTCTACATTGCCCCACTCACTACCATCTTCATTCTATTTTAACCCATCTTAAATTTGATTTTTTTTTTTTGCTCAAAGTCTAAGTATGGTTAAAAAATCAACAACCCTGAATGAATCAATATTATGTGCAATATGAATTACTAG